CAGTGGTAAAAAAATGTCGTGCGAGCCAGTTCAAAATCGTTATACTACATTGCAAACGCGCTGCAATTTTGCTAGGAATTAACGGCCATCCAGTAAGTGCAGAAACATGCGTTGTTCTAGACTTAGTGGATCATCCTTTTTTTTTTGTTTTTCGTTTGCATAACGTGCTCCATTTCCGCCCAAAAGAACTGTTAAATATCAAGAAAACAAAGACTGTTAGTGTGGTGTTGCTAGGCTGAACTAGTAAATAGGGCTTTAGAAAATATACTTCAAAGTTGTTGTCCAGATATCTCATGTACTCGGCGAACGGTGCCTGATGGAAGCGCTTCACTGGCACAGCATATTTCTCGCAATCAAAATCAGAGTAGCCGTTGCTTTTCATATCGAACAGCATTGTTTCCAGGTAAGAAAACCAGCTGTAACTGCCTTCGACACTTTTGCACCCAACTGACGACAGCACCGGACGATAGCGCAGTGGCATTTGCGTTAAGCAAGCCAGCTGAAATGAATGCGCCCCCAACTCGGCATCTTTGCCTCATCAAAACATCATGCAATATCAAATCAGAATCGATTTCGACTCCCTCACTTACACAAGTACCAATTTACTATCGAAACGAATGAACGAATTGCACTGGGACTAACCATACCACTAGCAAAATAAATAAAAAAAAAAAAAAAAAACTCCGCAAATTTCAGCACAGGGACAGCAGCGCCACTGTCTCTGTGCTTAGTCCTCCCCAGCTATCACATAAATGCCACATCGAAATGAACTTTTATGCGTTTTTGCTGTGTAGCGCTATAACGCTGCTAGCCACTGTCCAGAGGTCATCTGTGTGTGTGTGTTTGTTCGGAAGCAAGTAGACACTGTCACCCACTTTCATCTCAGAAACCAGAAAAGCTGGAAGGCTGAAATTTTGAGTTTATATTCCTACCCCTTGTGCCATCCTCCCGTTTTCAAATTTTCCCTTACACGCATCTAGATCCCGCGTACGGACCCCGAAAAAAATATGCAAAATCCCTTTAGTGGGAAATAATTTAGCGAACCAGGCAACGTACAAAGCTGAAACTTAGCAGCGATATTCTCTGTGCATGTGCAAGCTAAAAATTTGAAATTCAGCTGCCGCGCACGCTTGTACAGCGCGTACGACTATGTCAAAGGTAGCAACTTGGTACTATGCTAACTCGGAAATTTGCCGAAAAATCAGGGCTGAAATTTTCTTAGCAT